ACGGCAGCCACGAGCCATTGTTTGCCTAACTTTACATGGTGCAATTGTTACCTATATGCTATCGGAGCAATGCTTCACTATACGAGTTACGAATTGGGTCACGATGATAACCGTAGATGCTACTTTTTCACTCAAGGAATGTGTCGAGAATTCAGGCAGAAACCGTAACACGTGTTATTTTTGTAAAATTTATTTACATCGATCCGTAGACTTGGTAACGAGCTGACCTCTACGCCCGAGCAGTCTGTCATTATTTTTCGTAATAGCTCTGCATGCGCGATCCAAGGGGGGTATCGATACTCTAGCCATCTCCGACGTTCAGGTAAATGCAACGATCGATATTACATTATAACCATAGGCTCGTCGGTGTTGGTTAACGAACGCGAAGGGGGGCCCTTACGCACATTGCCCAAGAGCCCCAGTAGCTTGGACTCGTAAGTTCACGTGCTCCTCGCAAAAAAGGCTTTAATACATGTACACGAGACAGCGTGGCAAAGAGGAAGTGCTATCATTATTATGCGAGTTTAAGCGTCGGTGTGTAGTGCGGCTGCTACGAGTCGAGCCGGCACATGGACATGGACCGTTGATCGTTATTGGGTTCCCATGTACGCGTTTAGTGCGCGCACCGGGAAGGCAGCGAGAGGCCCCCCTGCGAACTTGTCCGAGTCGCACATGACACCCACGAGCGAAAAACTTATATATACGCGCGGGGTCTCGAGTGTAATGGGTCTTTGCGTCGCTGCGCCGAGTATATAACGTGAATTCCGATGCACATGCTACGTCATGTGTGCGTTTAAGTGTACCCGAGTCGAATCTCCTTGTGTTTTTTTTTATCACCCTCAGCTGCCCCGTACTTGTAATGTAATTCGCCATATGCACGTGAAGCTCGCGAGTTTGCCAAATGCCACAGGCTTATGTCGCTCGCTCATTACTTTTCGTGAATTGTCTTATTTGGTAAAATGTAAGCATCGCTTTCAACGGAATTCGTTAAGGGTTGAAGGAGTGCCTTTGTCTGTTCTGCTAATGTAGCGTTTTTTAACCTTTGCGCCGCAGAAACATGGATTTTTTTACAATAATATCTGGAATTCAGTCTGCAAGCTCGACTCCTTTATTCCATTACAGCTATGTATACGAGTTTAGGTCAGAAGGAAAAGATACGCCGTGATCATTGTTGCGTCACGCTGTAAATGAAAAAACACAATGAAAAAAAAAGAGGCAGAGACGCCTGGCAGGTAGGAAAACGAGGCTATGACTTTTGTGCGTGCAATATAATAAAAAGAGAGACAGAGAGAGACGTATATATTTAAGGACGGAGTAGCGGCGATAGCTTGACGTATCGATGCGAGCCGAAGCATGACGGCTCGGATAGGACAAAGCAGCACTGCAACAGCTTCCTAGCAACAAACTATGTCTTTGTGCATTAAAATACCACGTGCACTTTCTCCGTGATACGTATGAAAAAAAAAAAAAACGTATCCGGTCGATCCCGAGTGCGTGAACCCTTACGCGCGGGACGCGCAGACAATAGCCGCCGTCGCCGCTGCGTGCACATACGCATGCACTTTCCTATACAGGTATAGATTTGCCCGCGTACACGGCATAGAGTATTTGCAATTAGTCTTCCGCTATGTACTCGGCGACTTCCTCCTGGCACCTATATAGGTAGCCGCTAGTTTCCGCTCTTTCCGCTTTTTCTCCCACGCGAGCTTCGAGCGCGTCAAGGTGCACAACGTTGTGTACGTACACCGCGATGCATGTATACACCACACACGTATAAGGAGCCGCGATCGCCGTGCAGCCGAGGGACCCCCGGCAAAGAACGGCTCGTTCTGACCTTATCGCGGAAAGACGCGCGCGCGATATAATGACCCCGAAGGCCAGCTGTTGCTTCGGACTCCGCCGACACCCTCCCTATACCGAGCTGAGCAAGTGGTGTGCCGCGCCAAGTATAATACGAGTCGCTCGTATAACGCCAAGGTGTGTACGATGAAAAAAAAAAAAAAATGTTGACAAAAGAATGCGTCGCGATTAGTATGTGTGAAAGTCGCCGCGTTCGAAACGGGGATCGAGTTTCCCTGATAAGTTTGTTTATGCACAATACCTGGCGTAAGGTTTAATTTATCCTCGCACAGGACCGACATCGAATCGATTTCTGCCGAGACACGCAACGATCCGCTCGGCTAATTTTTCTCGCGAAAATTCTGCCGACTATCGAGTCGATTAATCATCTTGAGATATAGTTAGCGATATTCGCGTTCTTAGGAAAGCGCATCGAAAGATACGCGCCGATTTATATACACATAGGATCTCGTTTTGTTCTTTCGGGGGCTTAATCGATCGTCGAGAAGTCAAAAGACCCCTGCCGGAATAATAGCCGTCGTCGCACATTATAATATAGCGCACACAAACACGCGCACAAATAGTCATAGAGTGGCATCTGCGTTTGAACGGTCGGCGCGAGCGCGCGCGAGTGGCACGTGGGTGCGCTCATGGATTCTCTTCTCTTTCTATACTCTACCGTGTGTACACGTATGTATGTATAGTTTATACGTACTCTCTCTCTCTCTCTCTCTCTCTCTCTCACTCGCTGTATGTATACTGAACGCAGGGGGGCAGGTGCCCTTCGCTCAGCTGTTGCTCGCTGGCGCGCGCGCGCACGCCACGGCTATATACATAATATATACTCGCGTGCCTTATGCGCGATGTATATTCCTCATAGGCGATATACATACAACATACAAATAGCGACGGGCTTTGCTTTTGTCGAGTTTGGAGTCGAATATATACACAAATAACGTCCCGGTAAAGCATGTACTCCAGCGACGGTCAAGATATACGATTGATTTTGTAACGAGGCCTAACGCAGGAGAAATCCTGATAATTTTCGTAATCGTTAACGCAGGTACAGATAAGAATTTTATTGATCGACGAGTTATCCTTATCTAAGAGCGGCCAGAAGTAGCCAGAGAGACACGCGCGCGCGACTAATTTTCAACCGGATAAAAAAGGTAAACGAGGGCGAGCATACAAGCGCGATATAAAACATGTTTTAATTGGCCAGTCTGCGAAATAGAGAATAGCTAATAAAGCTAGAAATCGAGACGGGACACATAATTGCTGCTAAGAAAATAGGATGCTCGTAATAAGGGACCGCGGCAGCAGTCATCGCATTCTCATGCGTGCATACATATAGGTACGCGCGCGGAGGGAATCATCGCGCCCTGCGAGCCCAAGATATGACTCTGAGCTCGCAGCAGCTAGCTAGCTACATGTTATACCTCGGGTGCTCTTTGTTTTCAGTCGTCGCACACATGCACGGAATGTTTGCCAAGTGTGATACAAGACTGGTCCTTACACGTATGCGGCGGTGGCGTACTATAATACGTGTCGGCAGGGCTACTTGACGATTCTCTCGTATAACCGTGCCCAAGCGCGTCTGGGAATAAAACGCGCCAAGCATGTAGTCGTCCGTGCCTATGTGTACGTCGTATATGCGTGCACTACGAGCTCGACGTCATGCACTTTGAATGCAAACATCTCTGCCGCAGAGAGAGAGAGAGAGAGCTGTGACGCACTGTGGCATCCTATACATGTGTGCATAATTACGTTATTGGGTGTGCAATAACGTTTTTATGTATGGAAAAGAGACAAGTTTTACCCTCGAGTCAATTTTTAATTCTCTCCCTCGCGTCAAAGCGACACGATTTTATTATAAGTTTATAAATATATGAAAGTGTGACACTTGCTGACGTCTTGCGCGTGGCTACAGAGCCTAGTTGCGTTGTATATTGGACATCGATCGATCTGCTTTCCTTCGTACGTGTAACGATGTATTCAAACCTCGTGACTTTCTCAAATATAAATTCCAAGTTGCTCCGATGGCCTGTTTCAACGTTATTGTATTTAGTGGATAATAGGCTGCACTCGAATTTTAATGTTCGCAAGCCCGAAGCTCGGAGCATAATTGTCTGGTCGAACGATACCTCCTCGTTGAAAAAGAGAAGCTGCATGCAGAAATGATACGCTGGAATTTCTCGAATGCGCGTACGGAAACTTTGCAAAAGTCTTTCAAAGTTTATATCATAGCTCTTATTGTACATGTACAATAAGTGCCTTAGACGGCTGGCGAACTCCTTTTTTTTTACTGCAATTATACGCTGGATACTCGTGTATACGTAAGGAAAGGCTCGTCATTCACTCTGTACTTGGCTGAATCTTGTCGAAATTTTCTGCGCTTCGTTCCTTGCGCGAAACTCAACTGCTAGTTCGTTCTTTCTTTTTTTGCTGCAAAGTACTCGTATATTTTGTAATTGGCATCGATATCTGCTTAAACCCTTTCGCTCTGCCTTGAGCTCCGAGTTTAAAAATATATACGGGCGCGCAGAAAGAAAGAGAGACCGCAGAAGTTTAGCTACAGTCAAACTGCATTGAAAAGTAAAGTGGCCCTTCATCTGAATAACTTTATTTTTTACGTCTTTTGTATCGTACTTTAATACGCGTTCCGAGACGTGCACTCGGACTTTACATTGGACGATATTTTAATCAGCTTATACTCTTTTTCTTTTTCTTGGAAGGATTGGAAATTTTTACATTCGAAAAATGTTATTAAAAACTTACATTATTCTATCACTTACTGCCATGTAATATCTACGATTTTTCACAATTGCTAATTTTTTGATATTACTATTGGTTTTTTTAACTTTTCCTACATTATTATTTAAAAGTATGTACACAAAAACATATCTCCCAGAGTAAATCATAGTACCTCTTCCATTTACTTTTCATGCCTCAGACGATTTAGCACAAAAGCGTAGACAAAGTTCATAAATTTTAAAAGACGTGAGCGACCATCGTTGCAATAGATAAATAAATCTAGTCTATAATCTAGGACGAGACGTTTCGATTAATTAGTTGCCTATAAATACATAAACATATGAAATAAAATGTTACTGAGATTTGTTTCGTTTTTACTAACAAACTGTGATTTTTGTATTTTTCAGATCCAGTCGAAAATCAAAGTAACGAAGCATCTTGGATGAACAGATCGAGCAAGCACTAATCAAACTAGCGTAAGTGAAAGCGCGGGCGCGTGTGGGGGTGGGGCAAACAGCCCTTTGGCTCGCTCGAAGAAATGCAGCTCCCCGGAGGGAGCAGGAGATCCGCAGGACCAGTGCCTAAGAGCAAGAGCGCAAGACAGCAGCAGCGAGCAGCGGCCACGGGCCAGGCAAATTGGCTTGATGCCGACTTGATCAGCGTTAAAAGCGGCAGAATCAGCAAGAAGAATCGCGGCAGGTGTCGTTCGGGCAGTCAGCGGGCGCCAAAGCAGGACAGCTCGCTGGGCCCGATTCCACGGCGGAAGGATCGGCCCACGGAATAGTGCAGCCGAGGTGCAGCCACAATCATCGTCGTCATTGCCATCAGGTAGCAAGCAACGCGTGGTCGCGTGCCGCCAACTCAGTAGCAGCAGCCAAGCATCGAAATTCGCGAAAGAAGCGAAGAGTGGGAGAAGGCTGGGCACAAGCAGCGCAAGACAGAAAGAGAGAGAAGCGGAGTGCAGCGAGCGAGGAAGGAAACACTGCAGCTGTGCGTCGGCCAGACGCAAGCAAGCGAGCAAGCAAGGGGAAGCTCGCGCGAGCGGGAAAGGAGAGAAGTGCAGACGCGCGACGCAGCAGAGCCGCAATCCTGCAGCTACCACAGCGAAGAAGACGGCGGAGCGGAGCAGCAGCAGCAGCAGTAGCAGCACAGAGTATAGCCAGACGGCCGACAGAGGGGGGATCGCAGAAGGAGCCCTGGCGGGGAGGGGAAACGCAGGCCTTCGGGGGGCCGACCAACCAGACGGCCGATGATGTCATCGGAGGAGGAGACCGACTGTTTCGCCCTCTACGGAGCAAGCACCGACAGCAAGCAGCAGCAGCTACTGAAGAAGCAGAAGCGCACGAGACAGCGCGTGGACGCCGGCGAGCCGCGCAATAGTTACTCCAGCATACCGAACTTCAGCTCGCGGCCGTCCTTTCTCGGCAGCTCGGCTGCAGGCCTCTACGGCTCTATATTCAATAGCGGCCCCCTGCCCAACAGCTGTCAGCAGTCGCAGCAGCAGCAGCAGTTGTCTCCGAGCCACCAGAGCGCGAGCAGTCAGCAGCACAGCCCGCTGCAGCAGCAGCACTCGCCTTCGCAGCAACAACAGCAGTCCTCTGGCCTAGCCTCGGCTCAGACTAGTCAAGGACAATCAACGCAACAGCAACAACAACAATTAAGCTCGTCGAGCAGTGCCGCCGGTACGACGACGTCCTCGACCTCGTCGCAGCAGCAGGCCGCTGCAGCTTTCGGCGGCTTCTTCGGGGCACCGGGCTTCGGCCCGCCCAGCAAGATGCTCAACGAGCTCTTCGGCCGGCAAGTGAAACAGGCCACGGACGCGGGTGCATCGCCCGAGGGCAGCCACGGCCTCAGCGGGGCCATCGGCGCCATGGACGCCGCGCAGACGAATCCCCTGCAGCCGGTGGTCGGCTGCGACGACCCGGCCACGGCGCCCGACATAGCCCAGCACATGCTGCGCGAGATCCTCCAGGGTCGCAAGCTCAGCGCCACCCTCGTCGATCAGGCCGCCAACACCAACAACAACAGCATCCTCAACAGTAACGGCATGCACAACAACAACAGCATACACAACAACAACAACAACACGGAACTATTGAAGTCGCAACAGCAGCAGCAACGTGAAAGTCCGCTGCAGCAGCAGCAGCAGACGCAACAAAACAGTAACAGTGAAAGTGCGCGAGTGCTCAGTGGTGGAGAAGACAGTGGGGACGGTAACGCCGGTAGCGGGAGTCATCACAGTGATCGTGACCCGGTGCTGCCGGCCGAGGCCGAAGACAGTGCGGAGGACGCGGCGTCGGCGGCGCGAGCCATGGAAGAGGCCTTCGCCGAGGCCGGCATGGAGCCCGGCACGAACCTCGACGGCTCCGACTGCGAGGCGAGCTTGCCCTCGAGTCCGAACGGCATGCGCTCGGGCTCGGTCAGTGTCAAGGAGGAGCTTCAGGACTCGCTGCTGAAGCGCTCGCCGAGTCACTCGCCGTGCCCGGTGCTGCCCAAGACCGAGAGCAGCTCGCCCACGACCGAGATCAAGCGGGCTCGCGTCGAGAACATCGTGAGCTCGATGCGCAGCTCGCCGGCCCTGCCGCAGCCCGCGCCCGCGGTGAACGGCTGCAAGAAGCGCAAGCTCTACCATCCGCAGCAGCAGCAGGTGCATCACGTGCTCCAGTCGAGTCACGTGCTGAACGACGTGACCATGCTCGACGACGACGACGAGAGCGACGAGGAGGAGGACTACGCGACGATCCGGCAGAAGCGCGAGGAGAAGGACAATCTCAAGAGCCAGTTGAACAAGCTCTACGAGCAAGTGGCGGTGATGCAGCAGAAGTACATCGAGCTCTCGAGCCGAATGGGCCCCGACACGAACGACAGCGTGGACGCGCCACCGAGCCCGCCGAGTCACCACACGGTGGCGGCTCAGCTGCCCCCACGGCCGCACAGGCCCCATCCGCCCGCGCCCTACAACGGCGCCTTGGCGGCGCTGCCCCACGATCAAGCCGCCGCGGCGGCCATGTACATGGTCAATCAAAAATTCTACCTCGAGCAGGAGAGGTACGCCGAGCGGCTCAAGCAACAGGCGGCCGCGGCCCAGGCGCAAGCACAGCAGGCGCAGCAGGCGCACCGAGAGGCGCAACGCGAGGCGCAACGCGAGGCCGCCGCGCAGCAGCATCAGGCTCAGCAGCAGCAGCAGCAGCTGCAGCGGGCGGAGCAGCGCGAGGAGGTGCTATCCATCAGGCAGCAGCAGCAGCGCGAGCGGGAGCTGCAGCGCGAGCGCGAGGCCCAGCGCAGGAGCTCGTCGCCGCAGCAGCCGCCCTCGCAGCCGCCCTCGAGGCAGGACAGCGTGGGCCCGTCGACGCCCCAGGCCTCCTCCACGGCCGTGGCCAGAATGTCCAAGTCTGGCACGCCCGTCCAGCACAAAGACTTCCACGAGAGTCTGAGCGCGTTGCGCGGCGCCGTCGAGTCGGCCAGCTCGACCATGCCCAACATCAGCGGGGCCGACCTCGAGGGCCTCGCCGACAGCCTCAAGACCGAGATCAGCTCCTATCTCAACAACCTCATCGACAGCATAGTGTCGCGCTTCGTGCAGCAAAAGAAGTTCCTGGGCAAGCAGGCCGAGGCCGGACAGGCGGCGGCCGAGCAGCTCAACAACCTCAACAAAGACCTCATGCTGGCGAGCCAGTACCTCGAGCGCAAGTCACCGAGGACCAAGGTCGTCGACCGGGGCGCTCAGCAGCAACAGCAGCAGGCCCAGTCCGACCGATCGGGTCGCGCTGGACCCCTGAACGGGGCCGGACCTGGCCAGTCGAGCTTCTCGCCGATCGCCGGTCTCGGCTCGTCGCACGCCTCCGGCCAGCACGGCGGCCTGGCGGAGAACAATCTCAACCAGCTGAATCAGCTGCCCTCGCACGCCCGGGCGACGAGCAGCCTGTTCCAGCAGCCCAAGCCGCCGACGATATACGCCATGGCTTCGATGCAGCAGCAGCAACAGCAGCAGAGGGAGCGCGAGAGGGAGCGCGAGCGGGAGCGCGAACAGAGGGAGCAGCGCAGCAGAGAGGAATACTTGAGCATGAGGGCCAACGAGGACAGCAGGGACTCGGAACAGAACGAGGCTCTGTCGCTCGTCATGACGCCTAAAAAGAAGCGCCATAAGGTAGGTGGCATTGATATCGATTCACTTTTATTTATCTCGCTTCTTATTTTCACCAAGATCGATTCGGTACGGTCATCTGGAAGATCAAAGTCGATATCAAAATTTTGACCAGACACCGCACACGAATCGAACTAATAACCATAGATCGCATTGAAAATATTTATACGTTAATTATTCATAAGATATTATTAAGCATCGAATTAAAAAGAACCAATGTCATTTGAAGCCGAGCATTCAATTTTGTAACTCTTAGTTATTTCCACAGGTAACGGATACACGAATAACCCCGCGCACGGTATCGAGAATCCTGGCGCAGGACAGCAGCTGCTCGCAGAACGGCAGCGGGAGCGTCGGGGGTGCCGACAGTCCACCACCGCCACCGCCGCCGCCGCCGCGACCCGGCCACTACCAGGGCGTCCCCATGCTGCCGGTCTCGCTGCCGACCACCGTGGCCATCCCCAATCCCAGCCTGCACGAGAGCCAGGTGTTCTCGCCGTACTCGCCGTTCTTCAATCCGCACGCGGCCGCGGGTCACGCGGGCCAGGTGCCGCCCACGGGCTCGCACCATCTGCCCGCGAGTCCGCCCGGCAGCGGCGGCGTCGAGCTCAGGGACTCGCCGCCCCTGCCCCATCCACCGGCGATGCTGCATCCGGCTCTGCTGGCGGCGGCCCACGGCAATCCCGACTACGCGCACCTCAGGATGGACAGCAACGATCGGGGTAGCGACTGCAACTCGGGCGAGATCAGCTACGACGGCATTCAGCCTACAATATCCTTTTCTAATACTTGATCAAGAACGATATATGTCATTCGTTTATATTTTCATTTCGTTTTTGCGCATCGCGATTTTAAATCGGTACGCGCCTCGAAAGCAGTTGGTTACTTTGCGATCGTCGTCCAAGGCGAGCAGTTGCGCGAAAGTTTAAGTATATACGCTAAAAGATCGCGAAACTTTGGCCGAAGTTGCCTTTAGCCTTGCGAGAGGGAGAGCCCGAGAGCTCGAGGAGTTGGGGATCGGTCGGTTCCCGGTCAAACATTCGGCCGAACGAGGAAGAGGAAGCCGGAGAGAATCCAAAGGTTCGCCTCTCGTTCGCTCAGGCCTATATGAGTAGACCAACACAGTAGCGCGCAAAGTTTAACGCACACCGAGTTCGTATGAATGTTATATTAAACGCTAGTGAGCTGCCGGGAGAGAGAGAGAGAGAGAGAGAGAGAGAGAGAGAGTTGCCCTTAACTTTAGCTGCTCGTGCGCCTGTATGTATGTGTGTGTGTGTGCACCACTCCTTTATCAAATATATGTATAGCGCCCAGACGGCAATGTGCATAGTTTGGCTTGGTTCGGGCAAGAACCAAAGTTGCCGCTGCACTGTACGGCCCTCTATACGGCAACTGACGTTGTTTCAGTCTCTCTAAGCTTGGCTTCTCCGCGAGTACGTGCTCGAATGTTATACCGCTGCAACACACCCATATACGCTCGAGAAACGGAATCTTGCACGAGCTTAAAGTACATTATCGTTGCGCGATGCAATATCTCGATCGAGCTGCGGGCTTCTGTTTGCGAATTACTTTGCCAAGCTGCCACCTCGTCGTGCCGAAGGTCACTTTTGCTCAAGAGAGAGAGAGAGAGAGAGAGAGCGAGAAAATATCGACTCTTTTCTTCATCCTCCAGTGGTCAGCGCGAAAAGAGTCATTCGCGCGATCAGTCGTGTGCAGAGAATTTTCCCACCGCTCGAGCGCGTGCTCCTTTTTTCTTTCGCTCTCTTTCTCGCGCGCATGCACGAACTTTCGAAAATAGCACCTAGCCGTGTATGTCATAAATGTGCATCAGCGAGTGAGGGGGGACGGTACTGGCTCTTTCTCTCTCTCAGGTCATTCTGTCAACTTGCGCATGCAAAAAGAAGCGCATCGTCGGGATCCTCGTACTCTCGGGCGTACATGTGTAAGTGTACATAAGAGTCGAGCTAACGTGCCGTGCACGTATAGCCAAAGCTCCAAAGAAGACGAGGCGGGGGCGCGCGTCGTCTCGTATATATGCATCGCTGCTGCTGCTACCGCTGCTGCATCGTGTACGATGCACGCCTAGCTATACGTGTATGCATCGCGAGAATGTGTGAGTGTACGTATGTGTGTGTGTGTGTGTGTGTGTGCATTTACGTATTGTAGGTTCGATCGCTACCGCTGCTTCTGCTTCTGCTACTGCTACTGCCCCGAGGCCTTTCTTTGCCGGCTTTTTCGAGAGAGCGAGCGAAGCGGCCTTTGATGTAAAATCAATGGCGCATTTTACCGAGGGGCTAGGTTCAGTAATATACTGCCACTGACGTTGCTGCTGCTGCTGCAGTTGCTGGACCCCCTCTTTTTTCTTTCTCGGACGTTTCGCGCTGCACCGAAAAATATATAACGTATATACTCGACTAGCCAGCAGCCGTACTACTAGCAGCAGTAGAAGCAGCAGCAGAGAAGAGAGCGAGCTGCGAGCTTTATTATAAGGATCAGCCATGACTTTGAACGGTAAACTCATTAAAAGCACCACTCGGTCGCAGAACAAACTCGCTTGTGCACTGCTCTTTTTTTCCTCTTTCACTAGAGAGATGCAAGCTCTCCCGTGCGTGCAGCTCTGCAGCACAAAAGTTCTTTTTGTTTTTCCCCGTATTACGATGACCGTGCGCGCGATGATTTTGCGCCCAGCGGAAGCGCGACCGCGGGGGAGAAGGAGGAGGACGCACGAAAAACATTTTTCCCAACTCTAATGATTTTGTCGAGCGAATATATAGTATAAAAACAAAAGTAAAAAGTCGGAGCTCTCTATACTCGTTGGCGAAACTTGCGGCTGCGTTATTTATTCGCGTTTGCGAGCCACGATCGAAGAAGCATTTGAAGTACAAGTGAATTAAAATAGCGGCGAAGGGGTTCGAGACAGAGTACTCCGGGGATATAAGAAAAGAATGAGATAAATCTATATGCACGTAAATGCGGAGGCGCGCGCTCGGCTCGCCGAGTACTCGGGTCGCGGATTAAAGCAATGAAAAGAATAGGCGATGAAACCACACGACGAGATCCTATTACGGATAAGGAGAGTTTCGTGTAAGGCTTCATCTGAGGATACGGCCGACAGTGCGTGTACATTTTTACGTCAGCGTCATCATCGTCGTAGACAAAACAGACTGCATTTTCGCGCGTCTATGCCTCGAGCTCTCTCCCGCTGTTTACTCGGCGGTAGGCGTAAATCTTGTCCATTGCAGCTTGTATGATTTCTAATCCGCTTGCAGCATTATTTATATATACACACATCTATCTGTATCGGAAAAAGAAAACGGGATTAAGTTTGAGATGTTGGCGCGCGATACGGAAAACAAACCAACTGCTTTCGCGATCGCGTTCTTTGCATTATTTTGGGCTGAATTCCGAAACAAACGATCGAGTCGAATAAGAATTCATTTTGAAATTTGATTATGCATAAACAAAAAAAAAACATGAAAATCTTTCTCTCGTATAAGCCTTAACCACAGTGAACTCGTCGACGTTGACACCCATGCATCTGAGGAAAGCCAAGCTGATGTTCTTCTGGGTGAGGTATCCGTCCTCTGCCGTCCTCAAGATGTACTTTCCCGACATCAAGTTCAACAAGAACAACACAGCGCAGCTCGTCAAGTGGTTCTCCAACTTTCGGTAAGTCAATCCCAATGAATTCACAGATCATTGTTCGCATACGTAATATATAGAGAGAACGAATTTGCCCGAATTTCCAATCTGCGCGATCGTGTCCAAATCCAAGAACACAGTTTTACTCGGGCCAAGTGATATTAAAACGCGAAAATGACCGCAAGTAAAATGCAAATGCGAGCTACCACTCCCTTGTTCGGGGAGGAAGGCGGAAAGAACAGGTTGGGTGCGCTGAGGAGACGCTCGGCGCGCTGGGGTGTGTCTTTCTCTCTCGCTCCTTTCGAATCTAAATTATCCCGCCCCTCGGAAAAGATGTACTACCGGCTCGCTGGCTTCAAGGATAACGCGTATTAAGCTCGACACACATATTCCCAGGTAGAAAAGAGCATCGAAGACAGCGCGCGCGCACACGTGCTAAGAGATAACGCTCGCGAAAGCGAAGCATTAGTTTGATTATAATTAGCTAAAGTACGCACGGATCAAAAATAAAACCTGCCATAGATCTCGTCCTTTTGACTACTTTTGCCATTCGCGTGCGTTATACGCGATGATAAGCTTTGCTCGATTACTTTTACGAGCTTGTAATACCTACCTTCCGAATGCTTTAACTATCAAAACTCTACTTACGCGCGTCGCCTTGCGCAGAGGATTATTTTACTGATTCGATGATGAAGCTCGATGTACGTTGGCGGAAATTTCGCGAGTCTGAAAAAAGAAAAAAAAACGAAAGAGAGAGAGAGAGAGAGAGAGAGAGACAGAGCAAGCAAGTGCACGCGCGCACAAGAGTTACTCTGTGTTCCTTTCCGCATTGCTCGCCCTATTACATTCGTTCAGGCTGCCACAGGAAGCGAAAAGACGCGCGGATGGATGTTAGCTACATGCCCAACCATTACATAGACGTTACTCAAGTCGAGCGCAAGAATAGCGAAAGCGCCGGGGACACTGGCGCACATATTCACAGAAGCCGTCGTTCGTTCATTCGCTCTCGCTCGTTCGTCGCTGCTACAACGTCCTGGTCGACTGCGACAAGCTTCCCTTCGTGTAGCAGCTTCAATGCTGCAGTGCCAGTCTCGCTTCTCGGTTCAGTCGCCCTCTTTTCTCATGCTCTTTTTCCTCGATTTTTCTGATAGACTGCACCACATCGTGTGGTGGCAGCGCCAGGCAAACAAGAAATGCACTCTCCTCACCCCCTGCATTCGTTCTACCGCTCGCTTTAAGTATTTATATATATACTTTTTTTACCATCCCTGCAATGAAACACGCTCGTTTTCTCTCTCCCTCTCTCTCTCTTTCTCTCTCTTGGAACTAAAAAGTTATTTCGCGTTTTTCCGCTTGAGGATTCGAAAAGTTTCGTGAGACTGCCGCTTCTGTTCAGCGCACATAGCAATGTACGCGCAAAACCAAAGACCTGAAAAGTCGTCGCTAGTCGTCGACGACGGCAGCGGCGGCGGTGACGACCAAGTCGTCTCTTTTCAATGCTCAGAAATAATGCATCTCGTTGTATAAAAGTGCACCATTGCATGCTTCAAATCTAAAGAGCAAAAGTTGTCGAAAACAGTGCTGCCGCCTCGCCTGTAACAGCCGGCCGCTCGTGTTTCTCTCTTTTTATTTTCAAGTTTTTCACTTTGAATTTTGTAATACCCCGCTAATTATCGATCTGCGGATGGACACTGCTAGCCGCTATAATTGACTGAGTTTCAAGTGTGTGCAACTGTGTGTGCGTATGCAAATATGCACGTGCAATGTCACGTAGAACACTCCATATAATTTAGCAATTTTTTTTTCCTTTTTTTCGTCTTTTATGTGTTCCATTCTCATTTATAGAAGAACACGTTCGCAGCGCGCAAGAACGAAATTATTTACTCGCGCGTCCTTCTATTTTTACCGCGATGCATGTTCAGTAATCGCTGATCACCATCTCACGACGTCTTTCCTACTTTTTTTTTCCACCCTCTGTCCGAGTTTTTCTTTTTGCGCATTGCACACGAGGTGGTAGTTGTGTGTGTGTGTGTGTGTGTGTGTGTGTGTGTGTGCCACCAGCTAGCATGTGCGCGATGCGAAAAAAGCACGTGTCAATCTGATAGGCTAATGCATGGGTTCCTCGCGTCGAGGAAATGCCTCGTAGTCGTGTTGTTATGCTTTTGTCACGACACACACGGGGTGCACGATTGCTATTACTATCTTATGTTTATTACACGGACATATATAGACGTGGACGGCACACGAAGACACCTATCGCGACGCTAAAATCTTACACGTGCCGAGTGATTTCGCCCGTGCTCGTCTTTCAAGGGATAATAAAAAAAGTGTACATCAGGAAAATAAAGCTCAAGCTCGATGATTTATGAGCAAGTGCAATAAGCACAATAATAACGGATCAAAATTTTAATAAAAAATAAATCAAGCGGACGTCGATAAATAATTATTTGCTTCATTGGAGTCGAATTTTCAATGTAAATGGAAAATGTCGCCTATACAACTTGACGCAATCGCACTAGACGCTTCAACATCGTATACGTCTGGCAGACATCTTTGCGGCCAGGCAGATATATCCCCGCGTTCTATCGGCTTCTTCGATCTCTTGGCCTCTATATTCTCTCTGTCGCGGCGCTTCGCAGTAGTAGCCCATGCCCGTCGTATTACGTATCGACAGCTTTTGTCCGGATGAAATGCTATGCCTCGGCGCGACTGCAAAAGCACACGTGTAAATGCGCCTATATACATACGTATATACACATCGTGCATGATGCGATTGGGGTCGTTGGAGCAAAACGCACGAAATAGCCGCTACTACGCCTGCTTATCAGATACCACGACGACGACGCCGAGCTTAACACGCGATGACTTTGCGCTTCTGATCTTATCAGTTTGTCCGCGCGAGCTTCTGTGTCTGTATACGTACGTATAATGTGCGCCAGCGAGTAGATGGCAAGAGTTTTATGTCGTACCGGCAGATATATATGCCGCGAGTAATGGTCAGATGTAAAAAAACAGTTCTATAAAAGTTTGATTTCTGTCGATGTGTAAGTATGATTGCTTATAATCGCAAGCTCGCTGGCTCGTTATTTTTTTTTTTCGTCATATAGCCACGCTGGACGAAAGAAGTAGAGTGCCAATGAATTCATAAAGAGTTGTAGAAACGAAATAATGTCGGCATATATATACACGATTCATTATTGGAAGAAATCGTCGCGTGTTCAACGCGCCGAGCAAAATAAAAAAGACAACCAAGCAGTTGCGAGTAAAGTATTAATGCGCACTTGGCGTTTCAGTAAAATTAAGCCTCGAACCGCTTATTCTTACATTATAATTTTTTTACCAACGCATCCCTTTCTCACATCGTTTTGAGACCATTTAAAAATTAGTCGCGTCGTATTGAATTATTGAGCAGTTCCACAAAATCCTTATTAGAATTTAGACAACTCTGGCTCTTCCCCTTGCTTTCCAGGGTAGTCAATTGCATCGACATTTTTTCACCTTCGCGAAAGTAAGAATAAAAAAAGGGAAAAAGATAGCAATATAAAAGCAGATGGAGTAATTATGTGAAAAGGAAACAAGGACGAGCATAATGTATACATCGTTTCGTAGACTACTTATCTTATGGCTGACATCTTACGAGCGCGACTGTGTGTCAATAATATATACGATCCGCGCGTATATATGTATATAGCTGGGTCGCGCGTCAACGCCTCGCAAGCTCCTTCTTATCGGCGCGTTCATCTCCCTAACTTACCTACTACTTTGCTCGTGAGCATTAGCAGCGAGCACGCAAAATACTACACAAGCCCGCAGAATGTATATTTAGAGGGAGGAAGAAGAAAGCCACGCGGTAATGACTCGGTAATTTCTCTAAACGCGAATTTCCTACATGTGTACATTACACCGCTACGCGTGTGTTCTTTTGTTATGCAAGCTCGCATGCGCGCCCCTAGTTCGATGGGAATAATTGATTTCTCAATTTCGGCCTTGGGTAGGAATACCGATGCTTTATTCAGAAATTGATTCGATGATACGTAAAATCCATCGACTGATAATCACGTGTCATTAGTTAATCACGCGTGAAGGTAAAATCTCCGAAGTCTCAATCTTGAGTAGCTGCAATCTAATTTCAGTGAACTTGATTTCATGTCAAGGCAAATATTTTCGCAAGATCGTGTGCTAGTCCCCATTTGCACTTGCACCTTGCGCACACTCGCATATACGAATGCAGTCTATATGAAGACTCTCTTACCCGCGCGCGCGCGCCCACTGAAGTTCTCGAGACTAGCACTCTTACCTTTTCCACGTAAGCGCATACGTACACACACGGGCTCGCGTGCCTCGCGTATTATATACGCGCTTATATTGCTCCGGGATAAAAGGAAAAGCCCAGCAGCGCGCAGACATACATGCACAGCCAAGTTAAAAAAGGCGTCTAATTAACTAACAGCAGTGAACAAGTCCCGGGGATTACCCAAAATCTTGAGAGTAAACCGTATATGGGCTCGATTATATGCACACATATGTATACGCCTGCAGCTCTCTCGGAGAAGAGCCTGAGCCATTGCTCGGGCGCAGCGTGCGACGTCGTCCTCGCCGTGTACGTATATATAAATGTGTGCGAGACTTGCAAGCTCTCTTTTCCTCTCAACCCTTTTTTACCCCTCTACTTGGAATATATGTGCATTTCACCATCTTCCCACGGCGGTGTTTTAATCCCTCAAGATTGCCTGATGGCGCACATACGCGCGCACTCGGTACGTATGTATATGTGTGTGCACGCTCACAGAAGTCAGGTGTATGAAAAAGGCCATTTAGCCTATGATATAGGTGTGTTTGCTCGAGAGCAGCTTATATAGAACAGCCTCGCGTCGAGCTCGGGCTTGCGGAGTACGCCCGCGCGCACACATGCACACATTCACGTCACTTATTCTGCCCTTATTGCAAAAGAATATGAGAGAGGAAATTCGAGGCGCGCCTTTTCTTTCTTTTTATTCTCTTCGTTCTTTCCCTTATGCGTGTGTGTG